ACATATACATATATACATATACACACGTGTAAATGTGGCTGGAGGATTTAATTAATACCCTAGAGCAGGGGTCTTCAACATTAATCATGCATACATGCTATTCAAATTAACATTTTTATTTTAAACATAAATGTGGAAGTTAAAAATGAGCGATGGCCCATTAGTGCCACTGCCATGAATAAACATACCTGTTATCTTGCATACAATACTGAATTATTTTTTAAATATAAAAAAAATATGAAAAATTGTCTAATCAACCAAAAATCTCACGACTCCCCTGCAGTACCTTCGCAGACCCCCTAGGGGTCGCGGACCCCCTGTTGAAGACCTCTGCCCTAGAACATTCAATATGCCTTAAAAAAAAGCCCTTGTAAGTATTTTGTAGCTTGACATAGAAGAATACAAGTGAAAGATAAACAGACATTTTTTGACTTTTTCATTTTTTTTGTTGTAACTGCTCTTTGATTTTTACTTACTATACTAAATGAATGTCAAGTGAACTATTTTGTAACACATTCTTTGGCTTTATAAATGTTGAACTGAACAACATATGAATCATTGTTATCTGCATGTGAAGCAAGCTGCTCGATAAAACTAAATATGTCAATATTTCAATGAAGATGGGAAGAGTACGCTACCTGGATAAGTGAAGACACCATAGCTTTACCATCAGCTCCATTGTTTGAGGGCTTGTGGAACTCCAAGTCAAAGTAAAGCTTACAAACAGCGCCATCTGGTATCACCTCATAGCAGTGCATCAAGGACTGTGTGTAAGTCCTGAAAAGAAAATCAAGTGACAAATCATCATTGATGCACACCATCGCATTTTAACCATTTGACAATGTATCTTTACCTGTAGTAATGCCACAGCTCACTGTAACTGGTGACCAGGAAGATCCTTTGACCCAGAGATGTCTTTTCTTTTTCAAGTGCAAAAACATGTACAGCCTAGGGAATGCAAGGCACCACGGTCAGCTTTCTGACCTTTACACACAGGATGTAACATCTATTGTGCAGTCTAATGAGATAGTCCAGCATCACAAGAGTCGTGTGTTACTACTGTACCTCTTTGCAGCTCTGAGCGAAGCCGATAGCCATACACTGACGAGGAAAGAGCTTCCAGACGGAGGAAGGCTGGCACGGCCACAAGCGAGGTTTGTAGTGTGTGGCCAGAGGTTTCAGCTGGAACGACTGAGCAAGCTGCTCAACCTTCTTCAGTCGATCTCCCCACTTCCTCATCTTCAAATGCTTATCAACCGCTTTTGTTCGACCCTTTATTGCACCCACTCAGTGACTTGCTCGAGGAAACTTCAGCAGAGGGGGAAGCTGGAACTCTTGTCCTCTTATCATCTTTCAACCTGAAAAAACCGGCATTAGTGTCACAGAGAGGTGTTTTTGTTATTTAGCCTACTGGGTGGACCAAATAATACCAACACCTGTTAGTACAACATACAATCTACAATTCAACAGCCTCACAAACTACATCCTCCAATATGATAACACAGATATAACCTCCATAAAAGGTAGGATTTATTACAGGACTCTTGTATTATACTGCATTAGTTTTAGCGCTTTCAGTGTCACCAATCAAATGGTAACTCAGTGTATATTAAATATATTATATTAGATATATTCCTAAACATCCCAACAGTACACAATATATACTGGTCCTACCTCAACCAGCTTCAACATTAAAATGCAGTTTACATCAGTGATCATTCAATAATATAACAAAATACTCTGAAAGGAACAAAACTGAATAAAGAATATTTTTACTTTTGATACTTCAATACAATACATTTGCTGCTAATACTAAGAATTTTAATCTGTTTTTATTGCCAGATCAAACAGCACGGTTACCATTATAAGTCTTGGGCATTGCGCAGACGTTAGACGTTGTGGACTAACGTTAACCTAATAAACAGAGCTGAAAAGTTAACGCAGTTTATCTAAGCAGTAACCGTAACATTTGACTTTAACGTGATGTCCTAATGTATTTAAGAGTACATTGGTCATAACTCACCGTTAGTTAAGACTCAAAGGTACAATAAGCCAGTAGGCTACGTTACCGCTGTGTTTATGTCAATAATCCAGGTATTCAGTCTCGTCTCTTTCTCAGTTGAAACATAAACACACAAGTAGTTTCAGCCTCAGCGTCGTTTTATTTTTGGCGCGTCCTGAACCGGAAACAGCGCTGCTTCCTGTTTCCGGTCATAAAACGGGATCGTACCAGACAATAATATATATTTTTTTTACTGTAAATTATCGTCAATTAATAATTATATGTGTAGCCTTATGATGAAATAAAGTGGACGATTAAAGTGCATGCATCGTAAGCGTAATGTGTCTCTGGTCGGTACCAATCATGTGACTTCACACTTCCGGCTACATAAAAAAAAAAGCCTTAAACTTAAGAACATTAAACAAATATACATATAAAACTGCATATATGACAAATATCTCATAGTGCTGAAAGATTAAACCAACATCGTTGAAAGGAAAAAAAAAGTTTCAAATATCTGTTATTTCATTTAGCTTTACATGGAGGGTATGGAATATAATTATCCGTGTAACTGTAAAGCCTAATGCTATTAAAAAGTTGTTCAAAAAGTATGTGGGTTGAATTAAGTACAGTTAAAGTTGTCTATGTTTAATAAAGTAACTTGGCAAAAAGGAAAAAAGCACACCACACAGCACTGCTTGGATCTCGAGCGGATGGGATGTTTTCAATCTAACATCCGCTCTCCTGTTCCTCACACTCAAACTCAAAAGTTGCCGCTGCATGAGTGAATGTAACAGTCGGAACATGGCTGGACTTGAAGTTAGGACAGATGTCAGCAGGAAGAGAGCCTTGAAGCATATATAAAAAATGTGCCGTTAGTCACGTTGGCAGGTCCTCTGCCAAATCGAGTGTCAGCAGTTTACTGTACCAGCAAGGAAGGAAGGAAGGAAGTGGGAGGAGGTCAGAAGGTGCACATAACTTTGCATTGGAGGAAGAAGCTATTCACAAGCACCAATGAAAACACCATATGCTAAAGTCATCAGGTAAGTATTTGTGCATTAAGAGGTGTTAATTTAATTTATCAACAGTACACACAGTGGGCATCGGAGGATCTTTTTAGTACTTGTTTTACCTTTTAAAGATTTTATCAAAAATGACCTGTACAACTTTTATATTAAGTATTTGTGCATTCCTTCCATACTGAATGCAATATATGTCTGCTTTATGAAGTATTATTTCAAATGCAAGCAGCAACAAATGAATAGTGTCTATAGCTATTTAGTTGGACAAAGGGAAATTAAAAGTTTATTTATGGGTAGATTGTCAGGCTTCTCACAATCAAAGCAAAATATTAACAGCTATCTCTTCAAAGGTTTTAGCTCAATTTCACTGATATGACTTATCACTTATTTTACTTTTGGGAGTATTGTTTAAGGAGAACATGTGAAAAAACAAAGCAAAGCATATTATGACTTTATCATAAAATCACAATTTAGGAGGTTAGCGAGAAAGAGAGAAAGAAAGAAAGAAAGAGAGCATTTGAGTGAAACTGGGAAATAAAGACAATTTATTGCTGGGCTGGACCATTTATGTTTATCTGGTTTATAAAAACATCTGCGACAAAATCAGCAAGAACTTACAGTAACTCGGTAGCCGAAGCAGAACAAGTAACTCAACATCAGGGGCCCCAAAGATATGTTATTTCCTTCCACAGGAAAGGAAAAGGCGTTCCTGGTGTGATAAGTTTTAACTTCCCCAAAGATAGTGTTCTGCTGAAAATTATCACTTCCCTGCACTTGGATGTACACAGACTAGACTTTTGCTCCATGAAATTAATTTTCCCTGCTTAAGGTATGAGCCGTTTGACATTTTCTTTTAGTTTTAGTGTTTAATCATTCATGGTTATCTAGGGTGAGAAGGTGGGTGACATATTCCAAGAGTGGAAAAAATAGGAGATCGAGGGCTTGTCTAAACAAAGTAATTGAGCAACAAGCCAGATCATCCCATTTCTGGACTGCGTACAACTTTTTATACAAGTTTGGTCCTGCAATTCTCTTCTCGGTTTTCTGTTTCAGGTCAGTGTAGATAGAAGAAAGGAAAAGCCCTTCAAAATGTGCGACAGAGGAAAACTGCTTCTTGCTGCAATTGTTTTCTACTACAAAGTAAGTTGTTGTTTCTCTTGAAAATAGTTATTTAAACCCTGTTGTGACGTTATGTTAGATTTAAAGATAATATTTGCTTGTCTTGAAACTATCTTTTAACTACCATGCTCAATTAATTAAAGGTGACTGCAGGGAGCGCAAAACTGGACATGGCCCCAAATGCTGTAGATTACATGTACAACGGATGCCGTGAAGAGGCCATGGAGAATTTTATCCATTCAGGTCTCTTAAGACAAGAGCTAAACAACAGTAAGGAATTCCAGAAAGCATGGGATGCAGATACTCGTTGTTTAAAGCTGATCCCTGGAGGAACAAAAGAACATACCGCTGCACTGTTGGCATATGCTGATTGGGATGAAGATGGAAATACCTTTGACAATGCAGTAGAGACACTGGGTGGAAATGAAAACATCTATGAAAAACAATTCCATTTCAAGGCTCTTCACTTCCTGCTCATGGATTCAATGTTGCTGCTGAGTACAAAGAAGTGCACGACTCTGTATGCTGTCCAAGAAAAAGAATACACAGCACAAAAGGGCTCGAAGGTGAGATTTGGAAGGTTCGCCAAAGTTCACTCAAGTGTCAGTAAGCTAATGGTCGATTTACATCGGCAAGTCCTCTTTAATATCACTTCTTGCTTCTTTGCTAACCTTGGAGACAACATTTGCAGCCAAGACCAGAGTATGACACTCATATCTCCAGCTGAAGTGTTCACTGTGGAGGCAGTAAATGAAAAAACTGAGGATGATTCTGAATTCACTGAGATCGTTTTGAAACACTCAGAACTGGACAGCTCGCACAACTGTTACAGTCTGTCAGGGTAAGACATTTTCTTTATAATAAATACAATATTTTGCTCTATCCCATGATTATTAACAGTGCTATTATGATTTTCAACATGATTTATTTATTAAAACTGTTGAATGTTAAATAAGTCATGAAGAATTGTCTGGCATCAGGAACTAAGGGGCAATTGTGGCTCAGTAATAGAGCGGGTCATCCTTCAATCAGAAGATCGGCAGTGCGATCCCCGGCTCCACTAGATAGTCCTGATGGGCAGGTGACACCTTGCATGGTAGCCCTGCCATCAGTGTATGAATGGGTGTGAATGGGTGAAGGATGACATGTAGTGTAAAAGTGCTTTGAGTGGTCGGAAGACTATAGAAAGGCGCTATGCAACACAAGTCCATTTACCATCAAATGGTTAAAATAGATACAAAGACCACGTGAAATCACCTGACTTTATGTATATTTAACCAAAACAGTCCCTTAAAGTTCCAAGCCCACAATATTTTAAAGCCCTTGAAAACCTGGTTGCAGAGCTTTATTATTTCTCTAAATCCTTAAATATTAATGACAAGCAACAATCAAACTTAGTGTTTAAAAAAAAAAGATTGTAACACTCAATAATCAACTTGATCAACTTCTTGCAGGCTGAGCGAGGGCGTACATTTTGGTTTCCAATGTCCCCAACAATGAACCTTTAAATTGATTAGATAATGTTTAATTTCCATCTATATTAGAAAGATTAAGTCGTTTATAGTATTATCTTTGATTGCTGATGGTGTCTTTTCAGCTAAAACAGCTAAATGATCTTTTATCTGAAAAGGAAGAGGAGCTGTGGGACGTTTTACAGCCCTGATGAGTGTTTACAGGCTTCTCACAAGCTGCATACAGTCAGGGCAGCTTGTATGTCCACGCCCACTTCAAACCAGTGAGATAAGCTGAGGGAAAAAAAGGCACAAATCTCTTTCATGAAATAACTTAAACAGTTTGCAATTTGTAAGAAAAATGGTGTCTTCATGTAGGCCAACCTCGCTCATAGTATGATGCAGATATTTTTTGCAAAATTACCAAAGATATTAACGTTTCTCTCTCTTGATTTCCATCTCTCTAGGTCCCCAGCTGATGTCTCCACCAAGTGGCTTGTGTTGATGCTTGTGGCTTTATCTCTTTTTTTCTTTAACTATTGAGAACAAATGGGACACAAATAGCTGCTCAGATTGCACTGAGTTACAGAAAATGCTTTTTTTGTACTATCGAACAATAAACATCTGTTTTGCTTCGATGCAGCCAAATAAGGTGTGGCAAACTTTTGTAGCCCGCTGAAAAAATACGGTCATAAGACTGTTGTTTAATGGCTTCAAACACATTTGCTTTATGCTTATCAGCAGATATATACTGCAAGCTTATATTTCTGAGGAAAATGTTCTTTTATACTTTTTGGGGGCATTTCATATGTTTGAGGGAAACATGATGGAAACTTTTCATTTGTCTTTAATACAAGGTCAAATAATTAATAGTTGTTTCCTCTCATGATAATTAAAACAATCAAAACCATGAGGAAGATTGATATTGAATTCAGACATTACCCTTGTGTTACACCATTTTACATTTCTCAGAATTACAGCATGCGCTATGATGACAATATTGTAGTGCAAATTGGCATCAATAGAAGTAGACGCATACATAAGATCCTATATTGTCGAGTGAAGAATGGACTGTTTAATCTGTAAATGGCATGCATAAGTTTATTTAACTTGTCTTCTCAAGTTTAGTGAATTTAACATAACTGTTTTTACATTTTACAGTTAATCTATATGATAATACAACAATTACATGTAAATTCACAATAAAAGGCTATATATAATTTGTGTCTGTGTTTGACTCTGCACCAAAACATCAGAATATGATATTGTACATACTTATCATATGCAACAAAAAATGAATACTTACAGTAAACAGCAACTATGTTAGTACTCTACGAACAGTCACAAACAAGTTTTTTTTAAATGCAAAATGCTTTTTTCAAACTAACAGAAATTACAACAGCAAGCACTTGTGAACGTACACTCAACCAGGATCACTTAATATCAGGGTCACTATAATAGATTTAAGGGCATTAACGCTGGAAGAGCAGCAGTAATACTGATGCTGCAGTTATAGTTGACGAAATTCACTGAGTAATGGTCTGATGTTATTAAATATATGTATAACATGAGTACACAAAATGTCAAAAGCAGACGAAAGTATATGATGATGATGATGATGATGACAAAGTATCTGGGATAACAATATCCTTGGAAAGTTATACTCAAACTGAAAATACATGTGTCATGTTTTTGTGTTGATTGGGTTAACCTTAATTACCTCCATGATCTTACTGCATATCACAGCCACTGCTGTAGCTGTTGATAAACGGGCCAAGTCATCAGGGAGGCACGACTCAGTTTGAAAACCTCTGGTGTAGATTGAAAAAAAATCAACAATATTTCCAGATTTCTAAACGTTCACCACAACTATCAGTTAATTAACATTATCAGACCTATAAGTAAAGAAAAAATCTGAATTTCTGAGCTCAAATGAATATGTCAAATACAGCAAGTTAGCTGGATTGCGTCCAGTGGAGACAACTAACTGTCTTTATTATGGGCCTCAGAGTTGGGTCTTAACCTGTGTCCATGGGAACAAGTGCTCTTGTCTTTGCTGAGGATGCTGGTGTCGACCCGAGATAGGGTGCACATGCTGCTCTGGCGACCCGGTCGAAGTCTTGTGTTTCGGAGCTCCAGCTCGTCGTAGCATGATACCTGGACAAAGGGACACCAGCGGAAAACCCGCTTGAAGCCTGCCCGGAACCTGCAGCAAAATCAACCCGACATGTAGTCATGCTGCTGTGTACAAATACAGTATTTATATGTGTGTTTTTGGTTTGTGGGGGAGACTTATGAATACTCACCTGCTATTAAGGCAGCAGTAGATGATAGGGTTGTACATGGTGGAGCTCATTGCCAGCCACAGCACTGACAGGTAAACCTGCTGGATGTACTTCCATTTGCTCAGACGCTTGTTGAGACCCGTCACAATGAAGTAGACGTGATAAGGCAGCCAGCAGAGGGCAAAAGTCACTACTACGATGATCATCATCTTCACCACCTGCGAGACAAAGGAGATAAATGATTACATTATCAACAGGACACCGTCACAGTGCAACATCGTAGCCAAAAGGGGGTGGAATTAAAATGAAGAATATATTAGGATCTTGTAATGGGAAAAAATATATTGAACTCTGTGTCCGTGTTGTGAACCCGAAACTTACGCGTGGTTAAAACTATGCAGTAATGAGGAACTTGTAGTTGAAAGTCTCATCTTACCCGATAACTGTAATTGGTTCCCAGTTGAACACATCTAGCAGAAACTAGATAATGAGCAGATCAAGACAGCCTGTGTCAAAAGACCTGTACTCCCCTATGTATGATTTATCTAGAGGAGTGGACCGCTGTATGTATAAAATGATGTGGTGTCTGATACTTAGTCGAAGCTTTGCTGAGCTGTGGTATTCTCTTCCCTCTTGCAAGAGAATAAACGGACAAAGACAAACTTGAATCTTGTTAAGACTTTATTATTGATTTGTGAACAAAAACTCTCTTCTCCTGATTAACATAGAAATCTTCCACAACATTCTCACAACATGAAAACATATCATCCAGTTTTCCCTGTAGACAACGACATTTTAAGATTTATATATTATAATGGTTATTTTGTAAAGTAAAGAAAGCAAGAAAAACGTTGTTGTAGCCGAGACAGGGGGTTAAAACCAGGAGAAAATGATGCGTTAACAAATTTACCTGGTTTAGTGTGGATGTAATCTGAACTAACTCAGAACATTTAAGGGGTGTAAAACCAAAACAATGAGCTAAAAGCCTCCATAGAGGTGGGAGGACCTGCATAGTAGGGTGATAATTCTCTGAGTTTGTCACTATGGGATACCTTTCACAATACTCATTTGATAAATTGTCAATACAAACATTTTTGATTAGAGCAGTTTAAAATATATATATTTTTAATTCCACACTATCTGAAAACTTCTTTAACTAGAGCAACGTCAAAGGAAGCCCAAATCGAAATGCCATTTTACTCTGGTTTTGAATATTTGAAGCCATAGCTGCCATTTTTATGCACATTGTCTCTGAAATATCAATTATTTTGTTTGTTTTCCTTCATTCTGCTCACAATAAAGTTTCCATTCAATGCGTCCAGAGAAGGAAAGGTCAGCGATGACGCATCAGACCCAGCAGGTTCCAGGTAGGACAGATGAAAGAGCAGCACAGAACTCATCAGTGTGTTGCAGCCCAATGCAGAGCAGTGGGGGGTTAAAAGGAGCAGGAGGCTATTATCAGCAGAGACTCATCTGCAGGATGGAGATGAGAGCGACTTCTTCTTATCTCCAGCCTAAATGGCATCTTGTCAGAGTGGGCCTTTATATCAAGCCTGACATTGTCTTGTAACCTTTGTTTCCTGGCGTTTATAAATCTCTTTTATCTCTCGTGGCTCAATTTCGCCATCAATACGAGCCTCTGATGATTTTTTTTCTATAAAGCCCTTGAAAAGATTGTAATTGGCAAACCTGCACCTGTTGCTGTCTCTATTTCTGTACACTGAATGTGTGTATGTTTGTGGTGCCAAATAATATTAGAAATGTAAGTCTAGCGGGGAATCTATTCTCAAGTTACTGTCAGTTTTGTTTTGTAGTTACATTGTTGCTCAATTCATTATGCTCATTTTACAGTCTAATTAGGATGAAATTGATGAATGTAAATTTGCAAAAATGTATTTTTAAAAATGAATCCTTCTGCAGCCTAACCCTTTCAGCTATCTCTTTTAATAATCCAGAGTGTTGATTTGCAATATTTGTGAGGTGTATCAATAAATTGTTGTACTCTTTAGCGTTAATCCGGAGGCTGACTGGATAGATGCTTGTCATGACAGCTGTGATGACCTTAATCCCTGTTTAACCCAACCCTCAGAGTAACTGCTGCAAAGCACAGTGCACAGTCTGCCTCTGAACGTTTGTCTCTTCTTCTAGGCTGCCGTTGCATTTGCAAAAAGTTAAGTTATGTTTGCAAAGGTCTATTTCTAACACATGGCAGTATACGTATATAGAGTGTACTTGTTCGAAGTTCAGAGTTGAGATTTGTTAAAATCCTTGTTGTCATTTCTTTCTTGTCTTTCTTTTCTGCAGAAAGGGTGAAAACTTTTTATCTGCGACCCAGCTGCTCTTCAGATCGCTTTGTTGCTCGGGCCACAACAATTTCCCCACCCTTTGGCAGCCACAGTTTTCGCACTAGGAGGCTGAACTTTGACATGGTGGTCAAGTGTGTGGGTGTGACGGTGTGTGTCTGTAATTATGCCAATTTGCAATAAGGGCATGTAGCAGTGAGAGTGGCCTAAAGTGTGTGTGTATTTGTGTGTGTGAATGCATGCCCCCGTAGATGCATGCACAAGCGTGGTTGCACCTATTTGCACTTGTTCTGAGTAAGATTTTGTGACATTTATCATACTGATGTTTTTCTGTAATATTTTTGCTTATTTCTTCTTTACAAATAAAGGCTATCTGTGCTAATGCTTTCCAATAAAGTCCTTCATCTCCCTACATGTTTTATCACACAGCAGCAAATCAGCTATGCTGTCCTTATAGTAAAAAACTGTCTTTGAAATGTTGAATCATATCTGCCAGTTATATGTCATTTTGTTGGCCTTTCATGAACAATTTGAAGAACAATCTTAACTTCTACATTTGAGGAAAAAACCTTATGTACATGTACATAATCTGCTTACAGATAAGCCTGTTTGCTTCCCCTCCAAAGACACGCAAACTAAATCAATAGAAAATGTGTAAATGAATGAAATAAATGTGGCGTTTACCTTGCGTTTGGCTCTAAGCTGTCCATGATAGTTATCAGATGAGTCTCCTGGGATCTTCCCTCCCCACAGAGTCAGCCCCACGATGGTGTAAGTGATGCCCATCACCGCTAAGGGCAGCGCGTAGACCAGAACTGTGACTATGATATGATACCTGCAAAAGTGGAAAAACACATCACCAGTAAATATTTTAACTGGTGTGACAATGACAAGCGGGATGAAGAGATTGTGCGCGATCACATATCTGAAGTAAATGGTAGACACAACCAGATGATGCACAAATACAGCCAAGTTTTGACATGGTAATGACAATAAAGCTTGACATAAGATCGAAAGGGGTTGTCAGTGTTCTCACATGAAGGGGTCGTCGGTCATGCGGGGCCAGGCCACGTAGCAGAGGGTCCTGCGGGGCAGAGTTCGGGTGGTGGAGAAGTAGCAGAGAGGGAAGGCCAGAACCACGGCTAGACTCCAGATACAGACGATAACTCCTGTGGTGGCCTTTGCCGACAAACGAGGCTTCAGAGGATGGATGATGGCCATGTACCTACAGGTCAGAGGTCACAACATAGGCCCGAGCTATTGCTTTTTTGGTAAATTCAAACATAACACAAAACATAACAGTTCCAGTATGTCGCACTTGTCGCAAAAATGACCACAACTGCCATTTGGCAGAACAGGTTACTGTGACTCACTCACTATATTGCTCAGATGAATATCTGTCAAAAGAAAAGCTGTTCAATAATATGGATCAAAAGCTGTTCAATCATATGAATCAAAAGCTGTTCAATAATATGGATCAAAAGCTGTTCAATAATATGGATCAAAGAGTCAAGAAAATGTCACAGCACCTTTTGAAATCAATTAAGGTATTAGTCATGATGCCTCTATTGGTCATCACTGTTTTTTAGGGTAGGGGTCAAGATTTAGTTGATTTTCAAGTTTTTCTTTATTTTCAGCGGAAAGGTAACCATCTTTCTTTCTTAACAAGCCTGTACCATTTAGCCTACTAAAGTATATATTTTCTTTAACTTACTAACTTTCTCTTCAAATAAAAGGCTCTCAAAGTGCAGAGACGTTTAAAGTCCTTCATCTCTACATGTTTCATTGAGAGCACAGCAACAATTGAAAAATGGCTCGAATTTAGTAAAAGTAAACTGACCCACATTTTTGCATTCATTTATACCAAATCACTGTAAAATGTAAAATAGCTCATGTTGTAAAAAAATCTGGAGGCAGGCAGACACGTTTATGGAAACAAAAACAAGAAATAAATGATCAATACGTTAACGTGAAATAAATATATCACTATATCAAACACTTTTGCACTTTCAATATGATCTTATCTTCATCATACCTGTCGATGGATATCGCGGTCATGGAGTAGATGCTGGCGAACACCGCAGTGACCGGGAAGAAGTTGTGAAACCTGCAGTACACCTCTCCGAAGTACCACTCTCCGTGAGCCGCGTAGATGAAGTTGATGAGCGTGTTGAACGCAGCCATCGAAACATCGGAGAAAGCCAAGTTCAGCAGGAAATAGTTGGTGACCGTTCTCATCCGCTTGTGCGCCAGGATAATCCATATCACAATCAAGTTTCCGAAAACTGCCACTGCCAGCACCGTGCTGTAAGCCACCGACCACAGCGCGATGCGCCACGCCGGCTGCACGAACTGGTTGGTCAGGTTCCTGGTTGTGTTGGATTGATCCCGTTCAGAGGCCATTCCTCAAGTGTCCTCAGTCTGATCTGATTCAGTCGGCTGCTGTCAGGCGATATGAATTACTTTGGCGACTCTGATGCGCAACATACGAGCAAGATGTGACCAGAGTGACAGAGAGAGAGTGGTCCTGATGCAGCTTCATTACGCACAGCTCCATGGAGGAAAAAAAAAATATATAAATCCAGTTTACCAGGTTTTCTCTCTCTCTTTTTTTTTTAAATAGCCTGGCACAATCCCTAATCACATACATCTATCAATGGCTGCCAAACTGATATTAGCAGGACATGGCGGTTATTTCAAAGCAACATTAATGCTTAATTAATTCATGGTAGTATATGAGAGATAATGGATTCATTATTTCCGTTTCAGCAGTTTTTGCTCTCAAACTGCTAAAATGATCTGCTACTAGTAAAAGTCCTGCATAGAAAATGTTACTAAAGTTTAATCAGGAAAATGTATTTACTTAAAAGTGTGACAGTAGGGGCCTATTATTATATGTTTAGAGTACTCATGCATTAATGTAAAAGATGGATTTTACTTTTTTTAATTTTTTGTATCTGACTGAAATTAATGAATATTTTTAATGTAGATTAATCTGCTGATTATTTTCTTGATTAACCAATTTCTTGATTGAAGGATTATGAAAAAAGCGAGAAATGTGTCATTATTATCTGCAGAGCCCAAAGTGAAACCTTCACAATGTTTAATAATTAAAGTGAAGTAAAAGGCACAATATTTCCTTCTAAAATGTAGTAAAAGTATATTGACATGGGAAGAACATTCTCAAGTAAAGTACAAGTACCTAACATTTTACTTAAATACAGTACTTCAGTAAATGTAGTTCCACCACTGCAAATTACGTTACCAATTTTATCCAAACAAGTTACAATAAGTGCATTCAACCTCCTCCTAATGCTGACCAAATCTGATCAACAGGTGTGCATTGTGTTCATTTCTTCCAGCCCATTAGCTGTTTCTCTTCAAATCATGACTTTGACTAATTGTAACTGTCCAAACCATTTAATTCCAATGGGTCATGTCCAGCATTAGAGCTGTCTGAAGCCTTGGATGACTCTGAGAGTGATCCAGTTAATCCTTCATAACTGTGCCATCAAAACAACGTCTCTGAATTGTATGTAAGTTGGTCTGTATGAACAGATCAAACGTAAAGGCCATTACTGTAAGTGTTGAACATATGGAAAAGGCTTTTGATGATACGACTCTTTGTCATGGTTAGGTAAATAAAACCTAATTCAAAGACATCTCTTCATTTTTCACCTCCAACATTATCTATAGATTGCTCCAGTCTGTCTTGTCGATTCATTTTCAATTATGTTTGACTGCAAATCAAATAATAGAAAAAGGACCAAAGTTAAGATATATTTGTCGAAATATAGTCACATCGTTAAGAATAGACTAAATCATCAAAGACAATTAATTATTTCAAACCCTTTACTCAAACAATACAACAAATAAAATTAATTTGAAACAGATTTGTTTTTTAAATTACGTTTGAATGTCTAAAAGTGCATGCTCTGAAAACACACAGCCACCAACATGTTTTTAAGTGCTTATGGCGAGTCAATGTCATATCAGGGTTATCATAGTTATGAGTTTTATGTAAATATCCAAGTTGTAACTACGACTGGGAATTTTTTCCGAAAGCTTCATTATATCCGACTTGGCTGAAGTGACTGAAAACAATACAGATGCCTAATATCTGCCAAAAAAAGTTCAGACAATGTAATCAAAACCAAATGTAATGGATATTGGAAGATAATGTCAAAGCACAGTGATTTTATCCTCATACACCAATTTCTTAAATTAACCAACCGTCTTTGTGACTCTCGTGAATCTTTTTTTCCTGCTGGTTACAACTGCCAATTAGCTCAAAGTGTACCTGCTGCATTGTATAATGTGTAAAAAAATTTCTTATAACATGGAAGTACTGATAGATTCTGAGGTCATATGTCAGGATCTTCAGAGCACACAAACACATGAACTGTGCACGCTGGGAAAAGACCACAAGAAGGTCAGAAAGTTTGTTTCCTCTCAGCAAGACCTCATTACCCAGAGGCCACCTCTTTTGGGCCACTCCCTGTCTCAAATGCCAGTGTTCAAGCCTCTTCCAAACACACCCTGTTCCCCCATAATAAAAAAGGTCACAAGTTATTAGGTAACGGATGACAATATCATTAGCTGCATTAAAAATTCTTCTTCCTGTATTTCATCTGAATAATTCAGGCATCAGTTAATCACATGGGAGGTGGTGTCTGATCTGTGTGTAACCAGATGAAGTTTAATCTGTGTAAAGCAAACAGTGAAATTGACTGACAAGAGGAGTTTAATACAGTCAATACAATCCTGTGGAGAAAAGTAAACTTGTAAAGATGTTTTTGCATCAATTTATGTCCTCAATACCATCACCAGCTGTGTATGAATGTGGATGACTTTCAATCTGTCCTGTCGATGCTTCTGTAGCAACACATGCACCGACAATAGGTCGTTGTCGAGGTCAGCTATGTAAGATTATTTTTTAAGTTTCACATCAGAGGAGAAGCTATGTTAAAGACCATCAATTTAGATTCTGTCCCTTGGCCCATCTGCATTCCATTTGTTCAGGGGAAATACAGCAGTGACTAAACCAGAAAAACGGCTGCCAAGCTGTTTAACTGCAAACATTTCACAAAAAACTTTTTTTTCTCTCTGTCAGATGCCACACAAACTGGCATGCAACCACTTATGGCAAGCTGCTATGTAAGGTTGAAGGGAAATCCCAAAATATCCAACTCAGACAGCTGGCAGCAGTGGTGGAAGAAGTACTCAGATCCTTTCACTTAAGAGTACCAGTACAATAATTATTTTTAAAAATAAATGCGGATGACTGCAGAAAAACTGGAACAGCTAACAAATTATTGAGGTTCTGAAATGTGACAAAGTGCCTCGACTACGCACTGCTTTTTTGTGAGTGACCACAACCTTAAAAGTTTGGGGTTTAATTTCTAGCAATGAACTGACTTTTCTAAGCTCATGATGTGGTTAGCATGTAATATAGTAATCTGAAGAGTAACTTGTAACTATAGATGTCAGATACATTTTGTGTAGTATAAAGTATTGTAATTGTGGAAGCTATTTTAGATTTCGTCTTAGTCTAAATTTTAGTTTTAGTCAAATTTAGTTATTTTTATCCTTCATAGTTTTGGTCTCGTCCAGTTTTATTCTTGTCGCCAAAAAGTCATTTTAGTCAAATTTTAGTGCTTTTAATCAAAATGTATCCTCTCTTAATTTGTATTGCTATATGTTAATTTAATCTTAGTCCTGTGTCAAATGTCCTCTTTATTCAGAATTTCTTGAATATTTCAGTCAATCTGGTCTAGCCAAAACAATAATTTTGTACTCATACTTGAGAGTAAATTGACTTAGTTAATTTCCACGACTGAAGAGCAGTAATTGTAATTCCTCCAATGGGGAAATTTGTACATTTATCCATGGACTTCAGAGCTTTTCTGTCATCTTCTGGCAGCAAACACGACGGCAAAATGGGAGTGCATGCTTGTGTGTGTAATGAGACTATCACAAACACATGATTTGTGGCTCCTCCAATATAAAATACTTACAAAACGTCGCCTTTGTTTTGTATTGAATTGTCATTGTAAAAGCTGGGCTTTGTTATAAATCATGATGATCAATCGGTCAGATATCAGCAGGTTAAAGGTTAAAGGAGCTTAACAAAGACATCTCAAAATCATTGAAATCATTGTTATTTGGCAATTTAGTTTTCATGACTTTCATGCAGTTAAAGCTTGTTGGGTTTTACCTGAAATTAATATAATTGATGTAAAATGAAATGCACTGGAGTTAACACACAGTGAGAGAGAGAGTTAGAGAGAGAGAGTGAACGAGTGAGAGAAAGCAGCTTATGACCAAGTGACTGATCCGACAGGATTACATGTCTAAATGGAGTTTAGGACTTCCCTTTAGAGAGAGTGAGAAAAATGAAAAAGACCGACAGGGTTATATGGAGAGGAAAGATTTAAAAGATGTGAGGTAATCAATATTTTTTTGGAGATACATTTGTACATTTAGTAGATTAGTAATTCCCAATTCAATACCCTTCCAATGGGTCACAAGATGCATCTGAGGGTTAAAAGGATGATTAATGTTACAAGAAAGAAGAAAAACAATTATTTTGTGGGTCTATGTGTGTGTGTGTGTGTGTGTGTGTGTGTGTGTGTGTGTTTTGTGAAATACTGGGTAGTTTTAGCTCTGATAGCCTTGAACATTTATTAAAATGAAATGTATAGAGGTTGTAACGCAGGAACTCATGATGCCTGAGACAAGGGTCCACATGAAGACACACTGCTTTATACAAAAGGGTCACAAGCGGAAAGGGTTCGGAGCCACAGTAGATCATAAAAGATGAGTACTGAGATACTGAATGTTGAGCCATGTAAAGAATGCTGTGCATGTAGCTAAAGTTAAAGAGCACTGAGAAAGACAGTAGAATAAAACAGTTTGTATTGTTTTGTCTCCCTTGTAAAAGAGTTTCCTATACTTACCTGGTATAATATAGTTTACAAAACAAATAAGTATTCAACGCATTTGAATCTAATATGAATATCAATTCAATGATAAACAAATTAAATCAAAGTAAAAGTAAACAATTGTGGAGTTAATGCTGACAATTTAACTCTCATCGACATATTTAACATACAAGGACAACCAACTAAAGAGAATAAACAAGAAAAAAACAATAAGCTATTGTAAGAAACAACCACTGTAGCAAAATGTTACCTTATTTATCCGAAAAAAATTATTCGTGAAGTAGTTAATGTCAAATGCAAAAGAAAAACATTATTACCATTTTAGGAAAGTTGCAAATAATGTGCATGTTGTATAAAATGAAAATGACTGACAGTGTGTGATACTTTAAACTAGGACTCAAGACAAACATGACTGGGATACCCCAGGGCACCAAACATTAGAATTTTACATTTATAAAGAAAACAGAAAACAATGATATGTCTTTAGGAACAAATCTATTGACATGAAAAAGACAAATTGATATAATAAAGCACCTGTGAGGTATTAACACAAGTGGCCTATAACTCTCGGGTCTGCAGGGATACCAGTGGTGGATCAAACTGCGCTTCAACTTACTATCTACGCCAGTTGTAGCCCATCTGTCCTAAGCTACATCACTTATACGAGTATAACATTTCTGTGAAAATGAAACTTTACAGTGCTACAAACACATCTACTGCAGCACGTTTTAGATCTTTGATCAGGTTCAAGGTTAGCAGCTCACAGAAACAATGAATCCACTCCTGCCTCAAAGCTTAGAGTACAAAAAATTATTATTATTATTAATCGTTCATTTCAAAGTCGTGAAATAAACCAGACTTGACTGCTCACATTAGCTCTAACAAAAAGCAAACCAACAAAATGCAGTTTAGCATCTAACCAGAAGTGCAAAAAGCAGTAAAGTGGAGAGTAATGTACAGAGTATATACAGAATAAAATATGGAATAGTGTGGAATAAACAGAAAGGGGGATGAATACACTAGATATCTACAGTGTGAGGAGTATTAACAGTGTGTATGCTAACATACAGTACATACAGAACAGACAGTATTAACAGTGTGGTGTAATTACAAGTAATACTAATATTAGACTAATATATACAGAATAAACAGCTGGAGGTATGATATGACTACAACGGAGGCTCCTGCATCAGTGAAGCTTAATAAATAATGCAGAGTAGTTGTTGTTGTTGCTGTTATTGCACCTCAAAGTTGCACCCAGTCCAAAGAGCACTCAGAGAAGATCTGGCTGGTTAAGTAAATAACAGAGAGCAAGTTCCTGTTACATCACTAAATGTCACACTGCTTGAAATTTGAGCTGAAGAACATAAAGAGGTGCGGCGTAGTAGACGAAATGCAAGGAAGAAGGAGGGCCGACTTTGAAGCTATCTGTATAAGTATGTGGTTTGTGCTCTACTTTGCATTCCTTTGAGTCTGTGCATGTGAACGGTTAATGGCTCTGACTGGAAAGTAGCTTGCAGAGTGCCTGTATTACTTTGCTGGCAGGTTATGAAATACTGCATTACTGTCCTGATACGACTTCCCTCCAAGTTCAAAGGGCGCTGAAGTGCAGTGAGTGCCGAGCAGGGCTGGATTTTGAAAGAAGGGTAAGACGTGCAAGCGTGAACGTTGTTTCTTGCATATATTAATACCCTTTTTGATGATTCATGTTTTCATTCTTTGCTGATTATGTCACTTGAACGTTGTAGAACAGCACTTTGCTCCCGTTCAAATAGGCTGCAGATAGTTAGCTGGTTGTGAAAAAGACTGTACTTTGATCATTTCCGCTTGTGTATTTTCATTACCACGCCCACTAATATGTTTCCTCTCCCCAACTGTGCCCATTTTACATGACTTTTTAATGAGGCTATACTAAGGCGATTCTCTTTTTGAATTTCTGTTTTACTGCTGATATTGTATTGAGTGTTGTCTAATACACACATGGACGAGAATTTTGCGTAGAAAATTGAAATACCAATTACTTAGGTAAAGTTAGAAAGATATTGACAGATTCGGATTTCCCGGTTCAGTAAATCGTTAACGAAACGTTGCTAAAATACAAACGTCACCTCCCTGTAACGGTAGTGAGGTAGACAACAAGCTACAACCTTAATTTAATTAAAACGGGCCGTCTTACGGACTCCACTTTACCTAACCATAACACTTTATGTGCTAAATGTTAAATAATTAACATACCATACCATATCGGTAACACATTACTCTCGTCTGTCTGGTTCATGAATAACATGACTGCATGAATGTGTACCTGCACTTTTAAACTTGTTGCTGAGAGGTCAGTCAATGTTAGAATAAAGTAAGACAGGGCAACACTTTTCTAACATCCTCAATTGTTTCCTGTCGACAGATGGAGCGCGTCTCTTTCTCGCCACTGTCCCGTGTTGCTATTTGTGGTGGCACCCATGGAAATGAGATGTCAGGGGTGTACATAGTGAGAGAGATGCAGAAACAGAAGGTAGATCAGAAGGGATTGGTTTCTATAACTACCGTCCTATCAAATCCGCGGGCAGTGGATGCTTGCATAAGATACACGGAAACGGATCTAAATCGCTGTTTCACAGATGCCTTGCTGAGGTAAGTTGAAAAAGAAAAGTTGTACTAAAACTTCAACGTGGATGGTTTAAAAGAGAATCTGTACATTTGAAAACTGCCTTAAAATTAAACTGTAAAGTGCTAGAAAGCAGTATGCATGTATGAGGAAACTCAATATATCGTCTGGCTTCCAGTGCCCCCATAACAGACTCTACATCCTACGAGTTGAGGAGAGCCCGTGAGCTGAACGCTCAGCTTGGGCCCAAAGGAAGCCGAGAGGCTGTGGATCTGCTCTGCGACCTCCATAACACCACTGCCAACATGGGCATGTGTCTCATCCTTTCCTCCTATGACTGGATCAGCCTGCATATTTACAAATACATACAGGTGACAAATATTCTTAGGGATGACATTTTAGTTCATGACATGCAGCTTCCTGACTTTGACTGTAACAATTTCAAATAGTTCACACAACAAATGTAGAGCATGAAGTATTAAATCTGCCGGTATAATAATGTTCAACTTAATGAACTTTAATTTTACTGCAAATACTGCACACAATATAAATGACACATAATGAATATCCTAGTTATCAATAAGAAAGTGTCCAAGAAATGTCAATCTTTATATACAAGACAAAATGAGTCACAGTCAGAGTATTTTTACAGTAACTTTGGCAACTCAAAGAAAGAAATAAAGGCTCAGATAGGACAATAAGAATGTCTCTAACTATTCTAAAGACAAATATCACATTGTTTTACATAAGAATGCAAGAATAATGATTGAAATTTCATTATATCAAGACTCAATATTTCAGACTTTAAACAATGTGATGTGGATATGTGTGGCACTGAAGCATGCAGTGCTGTAAATAATCCACCTGTTTGGTTTGCAGAGCAAGATGACCTCTGCGCCTGTGAGAGCAATCCTTCTTGATATACCCTCTTCTGAGGCTTATTCCCTGGAGTCAGTGGGCAAACACGGCATCAGTAAGTGTGTACTAAGTGTGTACTAGTCTGTCTGCGTCTGAATAATTGAATTGATTAAAGGGTAAGATGCTGGAATTGTTCTCTTGTTCTGTGCAGCGATAGAAGTCGGGCCGCAACCCCACGGCGTGCTCAGAGCTGATATCTTTAACATGGCGAAAGAGGCAATGGATCTCTCAATAGAATGGCTTCAGAAATTTAATTCTGGTAAGAAAAAACTTCCGGTGTTTAAAGGGTCAGATTGCCAAAACATGAAACAGCCTCCCGTGTGCCATGTCGATAGTTTTGGTTTGAAATGTCTGTCTCTACACCAATACAAGGGACGGCGCAGCACAAATCCTAGGAGGCAGATATCTCTAAACCTGGCCAAACGACAACTATCTGTGTGGCAAAATACCGCAAAGAGATAGAATGCTTTTATAATATGACTGAAGCTTTTAAATTACCTACTTCTGTGATCTTCTTTGAGTACACCAGCATGGCTACTTATTACTGTCCTTTGCCAACAGGAAGTGCTTTTGAAGGTGGCGAAGTGGAAGGATACACAGCAGTGAGGAGTGTAGACTACCCAAGGGATCCTATAACCAATGACATTACTGCTGCCATTCACCCCCAGCTGCAGGTAGAAGACAAGGATATCTGGGGAAAATGCATGCACACACAAGCCTTCACTTATAGCGACTATAATATTTTGTATAATGTATCAAATGACAATGTGAAAGGGGTCACTACAGAATCTGCAGCTCCCCTCAGCTTTATGCAGCTTTACAGAGAGTTTTAGCTCATCGTTTCATTTTGGTAGACAAAAAAACAGAGCTAAAATAGAATAACTATTGCACGTAGATTCACCAGGTGAACAAGAATACGACTCATTATCAATGCTAATTTCTCTACATACCGGCTGGATGTGTAATTAATCAACTGTTTGCAGACAGGTTTGCGCTCCATGTCGAGCTAAAAAGGTGATAGTGCATTCAAAAGCAGCCCTGATGCATAATGATTAACCTTTGTGAGCGTTCTGTCTTTCTCCAGGATAACGACTTCAAGCTTCTCCATAAAGGCGACCCTGTGTTCCAGTCCTTTTCTGGGGAGACGGTGAAGCACGAGGGAGAAGACCTCTACCCTCTCTTTGTCAATGAATGTGCCTACTATGAGAAGAAGATTGCTTTCCGTTTAACCAAAAAGATCACTGTGACCTTGCCGTCCATAAGTGTGAAGGCAGACAGAGTATAGACATTATGTTGCATGTACTTTAAATTATAACCACAGAACAAATAAAACTGTACACTACATGTATAATCATGTTTCTAATGTTTTTTTAACTGTGGCAATGATGCAAAACACCATCTTTGAATAAATGGAAAATATGGATCCCTTTGAGTTATTAGATGGTGTGTTTTGACTTTGATTTTTGAATGACGTGCTGATGTTTAGCTGCTTTGATATTTACCATGTTCACAACTTTCTTTTGCATGTTAACATATTCAAATTAACACTTTACACAAAGTACAGCCGAGGCTGATGGTAATGTCATTAGTTTTGCAGGTATTTAGTCATAAAGCAAAGCATTGCTATCTCAAGAGCCAGGTCGCTAGCATGGCTAGCAATAGCAATAGCATGAGCATAGCAAAGCATCTCTGTAACTTTTAAATACTTACACTGTTAGGATTGATGATGTTTTACTAATTCTATGACACCGGATCACACAAAAACAAGAAGTCCGAAGTCAGCAAATGTCAAATTTATCAATACAGAAACAGGTGCAGTGTGCTTCAGAATACATAAAAAACATTTTCAAAAGCCATGTTGTGTACACATCAGACAAATAACAAAAACATTGTGACACTAAAACATCACAATTTTTTTCTGGTGCTAAGAAATCCTCTATTTTGGACACACAATAAAGTAACAAATTAATTTACTTTCCACTCAAATGCAAAGTGTAAAAATAGATGTAGTTTCCTGCAAGTGAAGATTTTGCAAAGTCAATTATTATTCAAGTTACAGGTCTCTTTGACAGCTTTAATTTATGCAAAACTGATATTTGGCTGTCGAAACCAGTCTGTTAAGTGACTGATGAAACTGAGCCCTAAAAAGGAAGCAAGAACTGACTGCAACAACGATTAGAAAAACATCTGAAGTATCTTAACAAATGTAAAGTGGCAGTAGTATAATCTGGGGCTGAAACATTAGAATCTAAATGTTACAAAGAGGTCACAGGTTTGCTCGAGTTACATCAAATCAGCTTCAAAACAAGTTAAGTGTTCATAAATATTAGACCTATAAAGACGGTGACAATGGGAGATGAGTGGTTACATTTTTTGAGTGACATTTAGTCAACACGTACCACAGACTGAAACCAACAACAACAACCACAGATGACAGAAATGTCAGTTTATAAGGCATGCACAGCAAAGGCTTGATATTTAAGATTATGCAAAAATAAAACCACACAACAAACATAAAAATATAGGCTTGCGTAATATTTGTCATGCACTAAGAGAAAGCTACCCTGATAAAAGCAGGTCTGAAATCTGTTTGCAAGTTTTATAATCTATAACTCATTTAAGGGCAATGTGGTGAGCAGCTTTAGAAGCAATGGCAACTGAAAAGAAGGCATTTAAGTACAGCACACCAACACAGTCAACACCAGAAATAACAAATAATCCACAACATCTGGGTGTTAAAATAAGTTAAGAGCATGCTCTGGGTAAGATTCAGGTTACAAATGCTAGAAAACAAAGGTGAAATAACACAACTCAAAGCTATGAAACTCCTAAATATGAGCACTTATGATGATTAGCTGCAAACTGGTTGAGTGTATTTCTGCCTAGATCTGGGATATCATGTCATTCTTTTTTAGAGATTGTTGCAGAAGAAGTGAGAAGTTACAACCAGTACAGTCCTTTCTTAACCAGAAACCTTTTTCCTGAGACCAGTAGGCGGTTTTAAGGTGAGTTGTTGTAGTAGTCTCTCTTTAGGCTACCCTGTAAGCAGTCATGCGGGTGTAGTTTTGGCGGTGACTCCTGGCCGCCCATAGGAACAAAGCAGCTGCCATCATCTGCAGAGGGAAGGAGATGAGAGCGAGGTAGAGGGACCAGCCCAGAGAGCCCTCCACCCCTTCTGGTGGGGACGAATACTGCCGGAGCAAATCCACCCCGGCCAGGAAACAGCAGACGGTGCCCAGAGTGCACAGACCTGATGAGTAGAGGACAGACGTAATAGATGAAAAGTACATTTGAAGCACTGCATTGCATTTGATGGCAGCAGGATGAGAGAAACAAGAGTGAAATTATAAGTTGTGTCGTCTGAAACTAAACAACAACAATCACAGATTTTGGCTGAAGCCAATGTAAATCTAAATCGCGGCAGCTGGATCTGGGCTCAAAAGAAACTCAACTTGTATTGAACTCAGTGAGAAAATCACAACTATCAAAACACTAACTTATTTTGTATTTACCACAATCAGGATTTTCTTCATATAGCTCATTATTGCAGAGGCACACATGAATAAATCAAGACCAACCCTACTAACATCAGAAGAAATGATTACACTTTTATTAAATCTAACATTATTCTTCAAGAGAAATTGCATATATGACATTGCAAGGTTTGGGTATTTACCCAGCGAGGCAGTTGTTTAGACTATCATCGATTAACTGAATGTATAACAACACAGGAGTCAGGATCTGTGTGAATTAGCTCACCAGGTAACATTATACGTTTGCTTCAGAGCAATGAAAATGAAAATCTTCTGAGGGTTATACATCTGGGAAAGTGAAAGCAAACGGTTCAAATGGTCTCAATCAGAAGAAGATCTATGAGGAGGAACTCACCTGACAAGAGGAAGGCCTTAAGCAGCGCCGCCAGGCTGATGCTAGTTTTAACTTTGAGAATCACCAGCTGGACGCGTGTTAGGCACAAAAAGGCGCTGCCGGCTCACAACATGCGTACAAATACCCGCAACAAATGTTTCCTATGTACGCTCACACACCATCACCCTCATGGTCAGTGAGTCAGAATACTCCATTAAAAATGTTTTTACACATTTGCTCTCCAGATCGGAACATTGCCGCAAGCGTACTTTGACTATTTTTAGTGTATGTGTTACTGGCGTCAATCGAAAAACTATACCCAATAGAGTCTACATAGAGTTGAATTTAGTATTACGTGAGATTATTAACAGTCTGACATGTATTTTAATGTCAGTAGATTCATTTCAATTGCTGTTATTTTAAAGAAGAGCACAGCAGCAGCTCTGCCTTTGTCTGCTCCTCCAAAACATACTGTTGCAAATTCACCATTTAAAAAGGGATATTATACATTTCTCCTTCAACAGAGTTTCTTGTTACAATACTTGCCGCCACCCCTTTCCCCATGATTTGTGTTTTCTTGTTTAAATATTTGCCAATATGGCGGTGAGCACCACACTTAAGTACAAATGTCCCTTCAGAACAGCACAGATCCTGTGGCATTTTTTTCCTACTTTTTTTTGTCTGTGGTCCACGGCAGAAATTGGGTAATATACTAGGATTTCTCTCACCTGCGAGTAGATGGAGCACTCCCACACCCAAAGTGGGGGTGAAGCTGCGGCACAGGCAGGCGCAGACCCCAACGAGGACGCCGAGAAACACCAAAGCCAGAGACACCAGGGGCAAGAGAAACTGGCACCTCCACAAGTCTGAAAAATGACATTAAAAATAAACTAAAAAAAACTATCTAAAACTAACTAAAAGAGCAAATTCAAGAACCTACAAGGAATGTTACAGACAAATTTGACTGATGCAAAAAAGCATGGGCCGACAATTATTTGCAGGACATTACAGCATGTTAGTGTCTAAAATTCTCTCACCAACAACTTTTTAAAGCTGAAAAAAATTGTCCAGCTAAACATCACTTAAAAATAGTTTTGTATTTTCTGAATTGTCTGCTGTATTGCTTTGATGTTGTATATGTTGGTGTTATGCAATTGTTACTGCTGCTAAATCTAGATTTAAAATATTACATATTTTTAATACTCCATATCTAAAATTGTCCATTGTGACCTCTCACACCGATAAATGTCACTCACAGAAAGTTCCCCAGCTGTGGTAGTGGCTTTACAGCTCGGTGACACTTTAAAATGAATGCAGGGTGAACAGAACACTACAGACACAGGAGGAACAGAGTAGACTCACATGTTCTCAGCAGATCTTCTTCGCTGCTATAGTTTCCAAGGTATTTGTACTTTAGACTGAACTGCTGAGGGAGAGTGAAACTCACACACTGTGTTTCCATCTTTGGATCTAAAGTCAAGATCAGAGAGTGCAAATTCAACTGAGCTGTCATCATTTACCAACACACAGGGTGTGTGATGTTGGGCAGCAGGAGGATATACAGTACACAACGATGCAATAGAAATGTGCCATTTCATTAATACTGAGGTAGTTATACAATTTACTGTCAGTTGTTGCATTGCAGGTAATGCTGCAAATCGATGAGCAGAAGTGACTTAGGACAACATCGGACTCACAGGTAGGGGTATACAGATTTAACTTTTCCTTTAAAGTGTCACCCTGAGGTAGCTTTAAAACTAGACAAAACATTGTTTCTGTAGCGTTTTAAATCATCAAAGTATGTCTCTGCTTGGGATTAAAGCGGGGCTATAAAAGCTGTAGAGATGTAATATTTTGAACAGGACATACTTGGCTCTTTGAACCAGTGTGACTCACTCGGCACCCATATGCACCTCGACCACAGTCCCAGGGTGCCGTTCAGGCGGAACATGGTTTCGCGGGAAGTCTTCTCGTCAAACTCTCCATCGATGAACTCCTTGATGAGCTCGGAGACGTTGCTGTCCCCACGCTTCACTGGTGGGCAGCTGTACTGGTACCAGTGCGGAGTTCCCACAGCCACAGAGAGGTAGACCGTCGCCAGCAGGCTCAGCACCGAGCCGATGACCAGAGCTGTGGCATAGCGGTTGTCTACCATGGTCTCGATGAGGATAGTTTACCACAATAAACTGCTGTATATTGCAAATGCAGATTTGGCTTTCACTGTGGGCTGGTTTAAAAAATATATTTCCGCTTAGTGTTTAGGCACCACGGCATGTCTGTTAACTATTGCCAGGTATTATGACAGTGCCAAAGTATCTCAACATATGATACTATTTAATCATGACGTTACTGTCCCAAACAAATAGGCGTTCACAACCTGCGGAAGAAGCAAAGATACACACGTTATAATGTTAAGCTATTTAAGGTTAAGTGCTGTAATACATTCTGTTTACCTGCTGGCAACAATGTACAATAGTAAGGTGTTGTTAGCTTGTTATGAACGTTACAGCTAACAGTTTCATACAGCTAATCATCATAACAAATACAGCTTCCTCAACTGTGCAACTAAGTTAGCATCTTACTAGCTAGCTAACGCTAATTATAGTTAGCCACAACTGGCTGCATACGTACGATACCTTTAACCGACGACTAAGTTACGCAATGTAATATGTTAACGTAAATGTTTAGTTTAATGTCGTCTATTTTTATAAAAAATGTTTACCTCATTTCTGGACAAAACTCTGGAAAAAAATGATTCTGCTCGTCAAAAATCTCGAGCAGGCCTCCGCCCACTTCTTCTACGTTAGCAAGTTTTTCTTCTTCTTCTATGACTTTTTCTGGCGTTTGACATTTAGCGCGTGAGGCACTTTACCGCCACCTTGTGCTTAAGTGAGACGAGAAACCAAACCATACCCAATAATTCTGAATAAATAAATAGAAATAATAATAAACCTTTGAAAGAGGACATAAAATATACCTGTAACACTTGAGAAGATCATTATTTTTAAATATTAAAATCCTATATTCCAGCCTCCTTTGTTATCTATCTACCTGTTGGACAGATTAAATTGGCCCGGGCAGATTTTAGCCGATATCGGTTTATTGCAGATATGGGCTTACATGTCAGCTGATAAGTAACAAAATATTGCAGTACAAAAATGCCAAATATATGTTTTTAGTAATGTGGAAATAGTGTCACTATTACAGTTTGTCCTCTTGACAAGTTTATTTTTAGTGTCCTGCTCAGTACCTATTGGTCTCACTTGTTTAAAATAACACATATAAAGGGTCCTTGTAATTTTTTTTTTTAAATATTTTGTGTTTATTACTGGTCTCAAAAATCCACTTATTATCTGAATTGTTTAAATTAGAATGTCGACGTCTATTTGAAGACCTTGTGACCTCTTTCCTGTGTAATTTTGTTGTTAAAATGATATTCCTCTTGCCCTGTGTTTCACTGTTACCAAGTTGTTTTGCTCCAAATTATTGTTGGTAGACTGGATGTTAAAAATGCATTGCTGCCATCAACTGTCAATGAAGCCACTTGGTTCATGTTTGGTAAAACAATATAAAAGCTCCTATTCACAGGTCTAATGATGTGGACAAATAAGATGATCATTCATTTGCAGTCTTCTGCCCCATGTTCTCTGTTTTCTATTAAAATGAGTGGAGGATTTTGTGCTCACACTGCATAGAATATTTCCCGCTGGGATAATAAATTAACAATTAATGAAATGTTTGTCTTCCAGTACGGGTACTGAAGTAAGTTATTTCTCCAGCTTCCTAGGACACAATTTAGGCAGAGAACATATTTTTATATTCTCCATCTTTACTACAAGACGTCTCTCTATATTATGGTGATGCATATATCCAACTAGCATATAGTCACAAAATAAGAAAGAGGATCATTGGAGTATTATCAAATCATACTTTCCCTTTTATTTTCTGCTTTAAATGCATTTTCAAAGCCAATAGAAGCTACATGTTAACAGTCCCACAATGCATCTGTGGTTGTATACAGTATTTTTCTGATGTGTTTTTTCCCATAAAAATATTACATTCTCTCAAATACAGGATGCAGTTATACAGAATCAGTGAGGTAGAGACCTGCCCACAGTTGATGTGATGGTTAAAAAGAATATTTGGCTAACAAAAACACCATCTTCACGTTTCATAAAGACACATCCAATCACTGATCTTGTGACGCAAATCAACTTCCCTTCACATATTACAGCATTTAAAAAAAATCAGACATACATCCAGGTCACACAAGTGCTGATTTGAGTGTGTACATCAGCAACTAGAGTAGTGCAAATTGATTCCTTTTGTGCAAAAGTGAGTTCCCTTATTATCACAACA